CAGGCAGGTACAGACAGATTCATTCACTGCAGGCAGGTACAGACAGATCCTCGCTCACTGCAAGGCAGGTACAGACAGACTCACTCACCGCAGACAGGTACAGACAGAGACTCACAAACTTCAAGGCAGGTAAAGACAAAAACTCACTCACTGCAGACAGGTACAGAGACTCACTGCAGACAGGTAGGCTACAGAGAAAGAGACTACAGATTCATTATGCATTGTGTGCCTGCAAGAAGCGGAAAAGTGAGAAGTAAGGGGGGACTCGCCCGCAGGTAACAGTGCTCATGGCCGGCTGACAGTGCAGCAGGGTTGCGGTAGGAGTGAGCCGGGAGTGCAGTGGGAGGGTGCTGGGAGTGCACAGTGTGGCCTGGGGGATTTAAGCAGATTTGTTCTGCTCAACAAAGCAAAGTGCTACGCGTCACCGGCGTTCACCGTAACCACTTATTAAATGGACGCTGAATTATAACTGTCCTCCTCCGGTAACCCACCTAATTAGTTGTAATTTTGCTCAAATTACAGGGAAGCCTGAGACCTTTCCTTCATTATTTGCGGCGCCGTGTCAGTCGCGTTGCGCATTGCAGTTGCAAATTACGGGATGCCGGGTGAATGTGTTGGTACACTGGTATCGTCTGGGTGTTATTGTTGTACTCTCAGCTCTCCCACGACACCGCACCTCACCACCATCCGTGTAATTTAACGGCACCTCTCAGTGTTGATGAGGATCAGCACTCCCTGCCCCCACTGTTTTAAATACACTCATCTCATCCGCGGTCTTCGTCTACAGACGTCGTCCATCCCGGGGAAACGCTGTTAAACGGTAAATGCCACTGTGCGCTTCTATTAATGAGCCGTACATAATTACCGAATAGTCTCCTCTGGTTGTCAATGCGCAATCTTGTGTTTGTTTAGCACACGCTAGCTAACGTCTAGCCCTTCGGCCGTTAGCCGCATTAGCGGCTCGAACATTTACAAGTGAATGTTTGCCAAAGTGATCTTGTGGGTTCAGCAGTCGTACCCCTCATTGGAATTGAACCCAGAACCCAGAACATCCTGGTTACTGAACATCCTTGTCATAGCAAGGTGATATCATCCACAGATCTTTATACAGCATCCTCAGACCCTGGCCTCAACCTAAATCCCCCACGCCATCAAAAATTGGTGTTGGGTGGGGGAAGATCCAGCAGATCTCACATGGCGAAAGAAAACCTCCCCCATCTCCCCAATCCCCAGCTTCTCCCTAAAATCTATCTGTGAGGGCTCTCCCTGTACTTCAGTAGACAGTGGTGTTTTCCAGTGTTGTTGATTAACTGCGGCTGGTCTGCTTTGCATAGCTCAGTCATTGTCATACCCTCACTGAACCTGTAAGAATATTTATAGTTACCATTCTACATTTTTGGTAAAGGATTTATTCTCTTGTAATGCCTTTTTGGTTCAACAGATTCTTCTTATGAAGCAACCCAATCTCCACCTGATGCGTGCGGCTGCCAGTCTGAACCCATCGGCCTACAGACAGTTAAATACGTTGAGCTGAGGCCGGGAGAGAAGGTTAAATGCTGGACATGGCTGACAGCTTCAAGAGGCCAACAAGTCAATGTCAAACCATTAACACCAGGAAAAACAGTTTTGTTTTGTTATCAGAAAAGTTTTGTATCTTGACAAACGCCTTGAAGGAAGGTCTCTCTAGGACTGTGAAATGAGCGGTTGGACACAGACTGTTTGCAAAGTTGTTTCCGCATAATGGGGGCCGTGTGTCCCGAAACCGTTGTCAGCTTCCATTAAAGGCGAAAGGCATGTGGAGCACTTCAAACCAGCTTTCAGAACAAACACTCCTTTCATAAATCAAAACCCGATTTCTATCCCCGGCACTGGATTCCGCAGTGACATATACGATGATGACAGCGGTGATTTTAGAAGCATGTGAAACTGCAAGGAGAGTCGTTGGAGTGGCTTATTCATGTGCCGTGGGACGGCAGAGTAAACGGGGGAGGCCCCTGGCCCTCATATGGTGTTGATCTGTAGGCCGTGGAAGGTGAGATCTTTAGTGGCGCCGAAGGTGGCTGTTAAAAGGCCACAATCAGCCGTTATATCTTGGGGCTTAAGCTTCAGGATCATGGCACAGATTTGAAAAAATTGTAACACTAGTGCTTTGAAGAAACCTTGATGTCTATCTGAGATGAGACGGGTGGGCTTTCCTTCACAGAGTGGTGTTTAGACACTTGTAAAATGGAAACGACATCTCGGGTTTTACGCAATGAGACCTCGGCACTGGAGGTTACATGTGGAACATGTGTGGAACCAGCGACATACATGAAGATAAGAAGACCTTCAACAAGCATGAGGTTTGACTGCTAAGTTTGATTCCATGGTCGGGTTGAGGGGGATCATTGTCCACACAGAATCTTCTTGTGTCCCTCTTGGGACCTTTTCTTAGCACTATTTCAATTTTGATTGACCAGTTTTGTCATATAGAACTCTATGCTACACGAAGACCATAAGATGTTCCAGCTTGTAACAATGCTCTTTCCATGAATGAGAAAGTATCAGATAAGAAAGGGTCAATGCCAGAGCGAAATGTCTCATTGCCCCCAGTCATGTCAGCTGTGTAACAGGCCTCATATATCAGTTATGATACTCCAGCTGTGTCATAGTTTGATTGTTGGCTCATTAGGTCCTAGCAAATGGTTATTGTGTGAGGGAATTTTGAATTGATCACTTTTATTTCTGTACTTTGGCTTGTAATAAAAATTATTATTATTGTTATTATAGCAGTCAAAGTCAAGAGTCAAGTGAAAGCATCCTTATTGTCATCTTCAGCTATATGACCCATGTGTCATGCCTCATGCGCTGAAATTAAATGAGTCTCATTGGTCATAATGTAAGAAAACAGCAATAGAGTATAAATATCAATAGGAAAGACATTCAAACACCGACAATTTTAACATGACATACTGAGACTTGGACATGTAATAGAAAAAATAGCCAGGTCACACTGCCAATGCTGACTGCTGTCCACTGCCAAAAGCGCCTACAATGAGCATGTAAGCATCAGAACTGGACCAGGGAGCAACGGAAAATGGTGGCCTGGGCTGATGAGTCATGTTTCCTGTTACATCATGTGGACGGCTGTGCATGTACGTCATTTACCTGGGGAAGAGATGGCACCTGGATGCACTATGGGAAGAAGGCAAGCCGACGGAGACAGTGTGATGCTCTGGGCAATGTTCCTCCGGGAAACTTGGGTAACCTGGCATGTGGATGTTACTTGGACAAGAACCACCTACCTAAATATCGTTGCAGACCAAGTACACCCCAACATAGCAACGGTATTCCCCAATGGCAAGTGGCCTCTTTCAGCAGGATAATGTACCACGTCATGCTGCAAAAAATGTTCAGCAATGGTTTTAGCAACATGACAAAGAGTTCAAGGTATTTACTTGGCTTTCAAATGTTCCAGATCTCAATCTGATCAAGTATCTGTGGGATGTACTGGATAAACAAGCCTGACCTATAAGGGCCCATTTCACAAGTTACGGGACTTAAAGGATCTGCTGCTAATGTCTTGGTGCCAGATACCACAGGACACCTTCAGAGGTCTTGTGGAGTCCATGCCTCAGTGGGACAGGGCTGTTTTGGTGGCATGAGGGGGACCTACACAATATCAGGGAGGTGGTTTTAATGTTGTGGCCGATCGGTGTATTTGTAGTTGTGTAAATGAGTAAAGAGATGTATGTACAGGAATGAACGGTAATGGATGTTTTAAAATGATGATAATATGCAGTAGATATTTCAAAGCTTCTGTGTCTGTGGAAGGTAGACCTGGACGTTTGGGTTGGTTTTAAAGCACCATCACTTCCTGCTGGTCTCACGCCTACGTCAAAATGCCGGCTGACAGTCACTCTCCAGCCCTTGGAAATGACGGGCGGAAACCCCATTATGGGAGCGGCAGTGACTCGGCTGACAAAACTGGCGGCAATCCCATAAAACCGGCTGTCACTCATTTTCAGTGTGGGGGAGGCCACCCCTCCCGCATCTGAATGCTCCCACTCATATATGACTGTTATTAGCGCTTGCTGTTTGACTGTCTCCCACCGGTCTCGGCCTCTGGGCCGCACCGCTGTCGGGTCTAGCTCGGGTGCTGGAAGGGTTCTGCTTCTTCTCACAATCAGGTCCGGATGTCGGTGGCGCTCAAATGGAAGCGGCAGTTGCATCTGTGAGCAATTGTTATGTAAGCAAAGTAGCTGGAAAGTTAGCAGAGGACGATATATACCCTAGCTAATACTTACTACTTAGAGTATTATGCAAAAATGCAGTATTTGGCAGTGAAAGAAAATGTCTAAAGCTAATTATATGGGTAGTAAGAGTATATGTGCTCAGAAAAAAAACTCAATTTAACATATGCAAATTAGCAAGGACAATAAAAACTAATAAGAATTTCTTCTGTTCTTCAAAATTAACTGTTATCTACTTAGAACCACTTTGCTTGTCAAAACTCTCCTCAAGGGCCCCCCAGCTATTCCACGTATTTGTTAAATTTCACCACCAACTAAACTAGTTAGTTACATAACTTGATGAGGTATTGATTAGCCAAACAAGGTGGGGTAGTGGCTGAGACAATACATACACTGGCATATTGGACGGTTGCTGCAAATATTGGGGTGATTTTAAGAAGAGGTTTTGAAATGGCTTCTCAGATAAACCGAAGAGGTGGATTGTGGGACAGGCTTGTGTGGTGCATTGTGGGACCTCGCAACTTTGCGATCCCCGCAAGCTGTTTTCCGAAGGAAGGCTGCACCCTGTGGTTCCAATAAGGGGCATTTCTGTGCTTTAGGGCACAGGGACGCAGGACCCCATACATGAACCCCCTCCCCCCGACCGGGTTTTACATTCAGCCCTGTAAGTAAACATGTGGGGGGAGTTGAGCAGGTGGGGAACATGAACTGCCTGATGCTTTTTTTGTCGTCAGAGGGGTGCCGTTAATAGACTGAGTCACAGAAGCTTCTGGATTCAAAGCAGTGTGACCGCAGAGCTTTATGAGTTTAGGTCTCAGCCTGTCGCACTTTCGTGACACGCCTGATCACTCATTCTCCTGTGTGTGACACCCCCAGTCTTCAGTAAGGCCCTCCTCCTTGCCCCCTCTTGCCAGCAAACCCAAAGTACGGATAATTCTTCCACCCAAAATAGAAGGTGACCCTCAGTGTGGCTCTGCCCCCCTGTTCTTTGAAGCGCTGCTGTTCCCTTCTCATCCTGTTTCTCCAGGACTCCTTGCATGGGGCTCAGGATGAAGGCGAAGCTCGTGGCCCTGATCGGGGCCATCCTGGGGGTTGTTGGGGTGCTCTGCTTTCTGGTGGCATTCACCACGGATTACTGGCTGCTGGCAAGCGATGACTGCAGGCCGCGGGCTTCGGCCACTGGCGGCTTGGCGGCGCGGGGGAATTACTCAGAGGTGAGTCACATACGCTCGGATCTCCCTGCACAGCCCTCTCAGGACACCTCTGTGGTTACTAAGTGTTACTCCTGCTGCACTGTCAATGTAGTGTTACATTTTACCATCTTGCCAAACTACATTAGTAAAATTTTTGCCCAATTCTTTACTGCAGTACCATTATATTAAACTTAATTAGTAGAAAGTGAAGGCTCTTCAGTGATTCAAATCCTTTTTGCCACATGCTTTACTGTAGTACCACTATACTATACTATACTATACTAGTATGTATAGGGTCTTCAACATCTTAAGGGTAGAAAGATCTTTAGAAAGATTTTTTGCCACATGCATCATTGTAGTGCCGTTATATTATATTATACCATACCATACCATACCATACCACGTGACTGCTGCTTTGTTTACTCTCACATTCAAAAGTATTTTCATCCACAAAAAATTCACGTTGAAAAGGAAAATTTTAATTTTAGCATGTTTGTCTGCCATTGACAATAGAGTGTTTATTCTATTACATTATGAATTTCGGTCATAATCGCTGGTCAGTTATATATCATCCTACAAAGATGTACACACATTTTCATCATAAGTTCCAAGATGTTTTTAGTTTAATTAGAAAATCAAAATGGTTGCGTCAAATAAATATCTATGTTCAGGTCTGTAAGCAGTTAAAATTGCCCTTCTGGAGCGTGCGCACGTCCGTAAGAAACACTGCGCATGTACACATGAAGCATCAGCACTTCAGAGATGGTTCGTACCGGTGGGTCATAAGGCTACTCAGAAGCCATTAGTTATGAGATGTGAGGGCAGCGGAGATTAAATCCTGGTCATTTGGACACTCGATTTATCATCACCGCTCTCTCAGTCGCTATCCATTCTCACCATATCACTCCGCTACCTTTGTCTTATTTGTTCCCCATCACGTACTTCTATGTTGTCACTGCTGTCTGCTTCTGCTACTCGTTGTTACTCCCTGTTAGTGGTACCGGCTCTGTCCTAGAAAGGTGGCTCAGTGGGTTAGAATACCGTGCCTATGATTAGCAGGTCGCTGGTTTAAATCCTTCTCTCAGCAGTGTAATTTTACCATTGGGCCCTTGAACAAGGCCCGTAAGCCAGGGACTGGCTGACTCTGATTTCTCTCAGAACAAAATGTACATCGATTCGACGTGTATTCTAAATAAATGTAATGTACTGTGAACTGATGGCCTGTAGGAGCCACGTGAGAAACCAGCCTGTTGGACTACATACGTTTGTCAATAAGCTTGATGTTGAACTTGAGATTGCTGGGGCTTTCGGAGAGGAGAGAGTGGACATGGAAGAATCTGTGTGCTCTGTCAGTTTCTGGCCCTTGGGAACCACATGGACTGCATACTTGAGTACATCTTGGGCTGATCCAGAGCCAACACAAAACTCGCATGCCACCAAGAGACCAACGGGATACATTTCCCCACCCGCACACTCATGGCATCTGTCCCCCCTTATAAGTCCTGTCAGAGGCCAGCCCCTGTGCACCCCGCCCACCCCTGGCCTCCAGTGGGTGTTGTCTGACTTGGCTCTCCTGACCTGAAATACCATTGGTAGCCGATTCCTTACTCCATGTTTTGAAAGTCCCCTCATCCAAAAGATAAATAACAAATCACTTTAATATGTATCTTTTTTTGTCCAGGCAGATGGCAATTAGGATATGAATCTAATGGCGGAAAATCAATTTTTATGGCTAAAAGCATTGATGCAGGCATTAAAAAAATAATAAATAAAAACCTTTTTCCAAAGCTGAGTCATGAGTTAATCTCTCGTTGTCCCTTCTGGGAGACTTGGGTCCTTAAGTGCACCAGTTTGGAAAGACACTTGACCATTCTTCAAAATAAATAAAGAAGAAACACACAATTTTCCGTTGGCCGTAAATTCTTTCAAACCTGAAGTGCTGAAAAGGATTAACAGAAATTAATGAGCTTCAGAATGCAGTAATGAAGACAGCCCTTGTCTGCCATGCAATAAATATGAAAACAGTATTATATGCATTTACATATAATTATTTTCATTGGCTATCATCTTGGAGCACCTGGCTGGTCATAGTCTTCGGGTCACTGGCCATTATGTCAGAATCACTGCCTATCATGTCAGAGTCCTTTGTCTTCATGTTAGAGTCACTAGTTATTGTGTCAGAGTCCCTGATCTTTGTGTCAGAGTCACTGGCCATTATGTCTGAGTCACTAGTCATTGTGTCAGAGTCCCTGATGATTGTGTCAGAGTCCTTGGCCTTCTTGTTGGAGTCATTAGTCATTGTGTCGGTCTCTGGTCATTGTGTAAGAGTCACTTGTCATTGTGTCAGAGTCATTGGCCTTCATGTTGGAGTCACTAGTAATTCTGTTAGTGTCACTGGCCATTATGTCAGCATTTGTAGTCATTGTGTCAGAGTCCCTGATCTTTGTGTCAGAGTCACTGGCCATTATGTTAGAGTCACTATTCATCATGGCAGTGTCACTGGCCATTATGTCAGCGTCCCTAGCGTTCATGTTGGAGTCACTGGTCATTGTGTCAGAGTCACTGGCCATTATGTCAGAGTCATTAGTCATGTCAGAGTCACTGACCATTATGTCTGAGTCACTAGTCATCGTGTTAGAGTTCCAGATGATTGGGTCAGAGTCACTGGCCATTATGTTAGAGCCAGTAATCTTCATGTCAGAGTCGCTGGCCTTCATGTTGGAGTCACTAGTTATCGTGTCAGAGTCCCTGGTCATTGTGTCAATGTCACAGGCCATTATATCAGAGTCGCTAGTCATAGTGTCAGAGTCCCTGACCATGGTGTCAAGGTCCCTGCTCATTATGTCGGAGTCCCTGATCATTGTGCTGCCCTCAGTCTAACGGCTATGAATGAAACTGACCTTGGGGCAGCAGCATAAAGCACTTCCCCTAGACTGTGTTAAAGGTGTGTTATTTTTGATGAGCCAGACGCACACACCTTCGTCCCACATCTGAGGTTTTCCTCGTTGTTAAACCCATTTATATGCTGGACATGTTACGCGTGTCACAAACTACCACAAACTGATTATCTGCCATTCTGGAACCCGATTACAAGGATCGTAAACGCCGCGCATTCTGACCCACCCCACCGTAGGAGTGTAAACCCTTAATGCTGGAACTGTGAAATCAGGTGCGGCTGAACATGACACCATTTGTGCAAGTGACCGTATAAGGGGAAGCATGCGGTTAGTTTTCCCGGTGACCGCAAACACTGGGGGTCCCTATCAATGGGCTGGCAGCTTTGGCGGTGGGGTTGGGGGCTCCATTAAATTGCCCCACACTCAAGTTAAAAGGGGACAGTTAGAGCCAGTCAAGGAATGGGATTGTAAGAGCGATGCTCAAGGTCCTGGGGGGGCATTTAATGCTGACAGACTGGGGCTGGGGAGACATGTAATTGAGTTGGGTGATAGAGTCTGATTTTTAACCCCGTCACAGAAAACATTGGACACTGTGACAGCCGCCGAAATCTGTGAGTGCCGGCGAGGGGCCGTGCGGCGGTCTGGGGAGGCGGGATCGGAGGGTGGAGGGGGGTTTAACGGGGGCTGGGAAAGAGCTGCTGTTTATTAGTGGCCAGGTCAGCAGCCGGGGGCTGCAGGGAACTGGGTGGTAAATGAGCAGAAGGGGCAAGAATGGAAGGGCTTTGAGCAGAGCTGTCAACTTAGTTACCCAAATTCCTTTGGTGAAAAACTATGGGGGATTGTGGGAAATAGAAAGCAACAAACAAATAATAATAATAATAATAATAATAATAATAATAATAATACTACGAATAATAAACATGAGTGTTATTCCTGACCGGGAAGTGAGAGCAGGAGATGGACGTGCGAATTAGCAGGGGAACTGAAAAGCCCCGTAACCGTGACCGTGACGTTCGATCTGCCTCCTTTGGGGCTTTCCCCCCCCGGCTATTATCCGCAGCCACAGTGAGCAGGACGCTTGATAACGGCGACTCCAGCCGGCAGCAGAATGGCACCACCATTCATTTGGCACCATCAATCACGCTGTGACAGCCCTGGTGAGGAGGCAGCGTGCAGCGTGTAGCGTGCGCTTCATACACCGCCGGCCAGATCCACTTTATATTCAAAGCGTGTGCTTGGCTCCAGTTTTCACTGCCGCAAGGTAGAGGAGCACTGCTGGTGTTTAACCTCCTGTCCCAGTGCTCCCTCTCGCGGGTAGCAGGTGTCGATGCTCACTGGAGGTTTGCAGCAGCCGGGCGTTGACGACACACTGGGATGTTTTAACCACCGCCCCCCCCCGACTGTGTTTCAGACGCTGCCAGTGACTGCCGGCCCCACCCCACCTCCCTTCGTCGTACATCACGAGGGTTTCTTCCGCTGGTGCAGGTTTGAGGGAGATGGCTCCACCCACATCCTCTGGGCAGTCCTGTTCAGTGAGTGACTGGGGGGGGGGTTGTGGCAATCACACGGGCAAACTGACCATCGAGGATAATAATGTGTGAACTCAGACTGGCAGGCAGACGGACAGACAGACAGCAGGACACTAGGAACAAGCCGCAGTGGAATAGTCACTCACAATCTTTTAATATTTGTGGCCCAGTCAGCATCATACAAAAATAAAATTTCATTTATTGGTGGCGGGGGGTTGTAGTGGCAGATCGATTGACGATTCTATTAAATCCTAAGATTTTAAGTTTAACCATTTCCATTTTATTTAGATGCAAACAGATCGTGTGAACGTGCAGGGTCATTTTTTTCTTTTTTTTTTATTATAATTTTTTTTTTTAACTTTTTTTAACCAATCCCTCCGCAAAACCCCCATCTTCCCACTGCATGGTGGGCAGACCCGGGACTGATGACAGACCCGTACCAGTCTGCAGACCCAGGATTGGGAACCAGCATAAAGACTGACAGACAGACAGATGGAGAGACCGATGGACAGACAGAGAGATAAATGGACAGTCAGGGGGACAGAGACAGAGAGACAGATGGACAGACAGATGGACAGAGAGACAGGCAGAAGGATGGACACTAACATATAGGTGCGGAGACAGACAACATGAATACTGAAGCAGAAATAGGCCAACTAACTATTAAGAACAGTGACAGCAAATAAATGAAATAAAGGTCACATAGAGAATTGTTAACAGCTAATCCATTGTGATAAATGTGCTTTCAGCCAGGCAGCCGGCCCCCAAAGTCTGTGTCACCGGCTACCTCTTTCCTCTGCCTGTCACCGTGGGACCGGTTCCTCACCCAAATTATGACACCACAGCAGGTGAGCGTTACGCCCCAGGCTGCTGGCTCCATGCTGCAGCGGTACGTTACAGATCTGATGCTCATCTGCCCCCCCCCCCCCCACCCCCCACTCTGCAGTGTTCCGTGGGTTCTGGACTGTGCTCATGGTCCTGGCCGTCTCCATGAGCCTTTCGGGGGGGTTCCTGCTCGTGTGTGCGGTGCCCTTTACCAGTGCCCGACTCTACAGGGCAGCAGGGATCCTGCTGCTCACCAGTGGTGAGTCACCACCCCAGCGAAGGAGCCCCCGTCGGCCTTCGGTGGCGCTGCTTTTCATTTCATCAGCTTCCCCAAGCATGTTTCATACCAAGACAGTCCGTCCATCCATCCGTCCATCCATCCACCCATCCAGGCAGAAAGCAATCTCAGAAAAATCAAAAAATGTAGAACGTTGAGTCTCCTGCTTGTGATCGGGACCGTTGCCATGGCCGCGATATACACACAATGCTGTCTACTGAAGCCATGATGAGTACAGACAGATACATACAGTCTACTTTTCCTGGAACATCTGCGCAGTTCTCATAGAGCACAGAAGGTCTTCAAAGTGAAGTAGTGACACATGGGAACAGTGATGGGAATTACTGACCTGTCTGGAGAAGTCAGGCCCAGGCTCGGATCCGACACTCTTACTTCTGGCGCTGCAGTGGGCTGCAGACACGTGAGTGTCGAGCTGGTGACACTGTTCTAGGCGCGCGATCATGTGACACGCAGAGCCGAGCACAGAGCCCAGCGGATCCCAGGAGGAATGCAGAACCCAGGGAATGATTGGGGGGGTGGGGGGGTTCTTTACAGCCAGATCAGTGAGAAGCTGCGTGTCATGGGTCCCATAGCCCCCCCTCCAGAGAAGCCTGCACTCTGGCATGATCGGTTTTCACCACTGAGAGCTCTTTCATGCATCGGCACTCGGGCCTAGTCTGCACCTGTACTTCTGTACTGTCTCACAAGCCCCAAATGTCACCGGTGCAGACCATGGTGGGGGGGGGGGGGTCTGCTTGCACGCACAGCCCAGCAGGTCACTGACTTTCAGCACCTCCGGCCTGCGGACAAACAACCTGCCCCATCCTTCCGTGTCCCATAACCGTTATCAGCAGGACAGGACATGCTGGACACTGTAGACAAGCTATTGAGTGACACCTAAACGCCTAAACCATTTCCTCAGGCTGTAAGAAAAAACCGGCGTGACCCAGAAGAAAGCCACACAAACATGTCAACGTGAAGCCACATAAACGTGAGAACATGCGACCCTTATAAGCACACAGCTGGGCCAGGAATCGAGTCTGGAACCCTCAAAATCAGAGAGCCGACAATCGTCCATCAGCCAGTGTTCACCATCATTATCCACCCTTCTTCCAACCACTTATCTAGTGCAAGGTTATGCAGTGAGAGTACGACACTTCACTCACACGTGTGGGGGTGAGATTTGAACCCCCACCCTCCCCACTGAGTCGCTGTGTCACCATCTCCCCATCCTTTTGCTCTATATTAAAATTCAGCCGTCTCAATTATTAAATATGACAATTAAATTAATAGTCGGAGGACAATCCTCCTTCATATACAACAAGCTGGAGGTCTGCTGTGTATTACCAGAGCCTTCCATACCATTACTCTGTGACATCAGCTCATAGTCTTGCATTGCTCAAGGGGCATCAGCAAATTGGATAGCCGACCAGATGCTGCTTTGCCTACCAGTCCAGGCTTGGCACTGCTCTGTCTCGGTGGAGCAATCGTTGGTAGACGGTGGAAAGTGTGAACGTTTCTCTGGAACCTGAAGGCCTGGCTGGGCCATAACGCCAAAGGCTGTCGCTACATTTATATTCCAAGAGACTCTCTTAGTTCATTCCCCAGCAGAACTCTGACATCCCATGGAAAGGTACAACAGCTGTCCTCGCTTGGGATTTGATCTCAAAAAAACGATAGTTCAAAGCACGTTACCTCCTCGCCACCCTCTTCCCGCATAGATCACGAGCAGCAGAAACAGTTTTCGCAACTCTGCCATCTTCATTCAACATTACTGTCAACCCCATTAACACAGTTAACATTTTCCTTGAGCCATGCTTACGGGTCTTGGTGGAATGGACCACTTAACATTATTTATGGTGACCTTACTATTAAACACTGACATTTACACCTTTGCACTTTCTTGAATGCTGACATTTACAAACAAATAAAACCTCCTCATTGCCAGTATCTGCAGATGTCATCCGTTAGCCTGGGCGATTATTTAAATTTCAGATGAAGTTCAAAACATTAGTAGCTAGGATTTGTAAAAAGTTAGAGATCATTTTTGGATTCAGGCCTTACATTCACACTGGCTGATTTTTTTTTCCATTACCTCGGATCCTCAACTGCAAAACTATTACTATAAGCTTGTGATGATGCAATCCAACAGGAACTGTATATGACTCACAAACCAACTCCAAAAAAACTACATTTCCCACAAGTCTGTGAGGCTGCCATCCAATAGGAATGTTCACACATTTTCAGGGACACTTGTCACTTATGTGTCACACCTGTTATCATACATAGCATTTTACCTAGCAGAGAAAGAACCTCCACTGAGATACAGATGCAGAGTTTTGGCTAATTTAGTGTTAGATTTTAAGATGCTATCATATGTTTTTTATCAAGGAGGAAAACAATAATTCTGGCAGCCACATGATTAGCTAACACTCTTTTGGAGAATGCTGTGGGCCCCCAGAATCTGCCCCTCTGACAACTCTGACTATAAGCGATGTGTTTTTGTCTTCCAGCCTGCCTCATTTTAACCCTGGTCTGCCTCTTCGTGCTCTGGAAGGAGCTGGTAGCCGACGTGAAGAAGTACGTTTTGCAGGAACGCGGGGAGACCTGCCCCAACACTCGGCTGGAAGCTCACTACGGCTGGTCCTTCATAGTGGCTGTGGCGGGGATCCCGCTGATTTTCATCTCCGGTCTCCTTTTTTATTTTATTGGCTTGCACGTGCAGAGGTATAGATGATCAACCAATCAAAAGAGAGCGAGATGCTGCATCTCAGATTTAGTTGGTCACATGTTTCTGCAGGAAAGCTTTCTATAGTCATATAATGATTATGATGGTGATTATTATTATTAATATGTTAACTGTACCTCAAAATTCACATTGACACCAGCGAGATTCTGAGCAATTATTTTATTTTAAACCATTTCAAACTTTAAGGATTTCTACAGTTATTATTCCATTTCCAAAATGTCATATTATACAGACCTTTAAAATAATATGTTCACTTTGTACAGAAAGGTGAACAGGCAGCACATCGGTCTCCGCCGTGCGTAAACGCGACAGGGGCTCATAACGTGCATTTCGCCCGCAGTAAAATGAATAGAAACTCAAAGCTGTGGGTATTCTGCCAAAAAAAACTATCTGCGGGCAACTGTTCCACGGTTCATAAAAGGCAAGAGAAGATGACATAGAAAAATAGTAGGTTATATATTTCACTCTGTACAGGACATGACTAAGGACCCATGGCGAAAGGGACCTGTTTTTTGGAATTTAGCGACAATTAGTTCTTGTAAAAATTGAAATATAGCAGTTATTTTTATGCGAGATGCCGGGTAATATTTAAGGGTTGTGTTAATGTTGTGTTCAGTTATTTTGCATTTCTACAGAGATTTATGTTACTAGTTATTCTTTGTGTCCCCGCTGTTAAATCCACTTTGTTTTGTCTTTTGAATATTGTATTGCACGCTGCAGTACCGTTTATTATTTTGTTTAATCGCAAAATACACTTGTGAAATCGCATGGCATTCTGACGTCGAACAAAGGTCTTATTAATAAAAGTATTTAATTCCTTTTGGTGCTGATGGGAGAGATTAAGTATTTCAGGTGTACAGGATCGAGCTCTGTGAAAAAACACAAAATTAGGTCGAGATATAATGACGCCGGTTCGCTAGTCCCAGTATGTTGTGGGATTTAGGTCACCAGTCAATATAACAATGGTTTACGGTAGAATGGATAGTAGAAATGCAGAGAAGTTATGAAATATGCCTGGACAGTAGAGACGGAAATCATGATTCTTTTCCAGTGATTCAATTCTTTAAGTTTGCTCAGTTACAACATTCAGAAATTCAGACTCGCTCACTTTTTCGCTTGATTGAGACTCAAGTGATTAGCACCATTATTCCACACCTCCCGGACTGTAGGGTTTGAATCCCACCTTCTGTGTAGCCTATGTGTGGAGTTGGCATGTCGTACCTCTGCAGTCTGAAGGCACATAGATAGGTTTATATTTATACCGGAAAAACAGACTCATATTATAAGAAGCTGACTTTAAATACATTAGTACACACATTATCTCTCTCTCTCTCTCTCTCTCTCTCTATATATATATATATATATATATATATATATATATCCACACACTTCCGTGTCTAAAAAGACGCACAGCCAGGTGCATGAAGAAGGGATACTGTCANCAGTCTGAAGGCACATAGATAGGTTTATATTTATACCGGAAAAACAGACTCATATTATAAGAAGCTGACTTTAAATACATTAGTACACACATTATATATATATATATATATATATATATATATATATATATATATATATATATATATATATATATCCACACACTTCCGTGTCTAAAAAGACGCACAGCCAGGTGCATGAAGAAGGGATACTGTCATTTCCTCAGCGGTGAAACACAGGGAACAGCGGGGCACAGGGAAAGCCAAGGCGGCCGCCTATGGCGGGGAGCCGGACAGGCGTCAGTGCCGTGAAGCAGACGGAGAAAAGCCGCAGGGGCCACGGTCCACACGGGCCGTTTGAAACACCGCAAAGCGGTGACCGCACGTAATGCAGCAGGACACGTGACCGCCGAAGCTCTTTTTTCGTTTATCTTTTTTTATCCCCCTGTTTCCCGGCGTCCAACCGCGACACGTTTATGCCTTTGTCTCCATCGCCATGATACTGAGCGGTCGAGGAGGTCGCGCGTCTCGGGCAGATGACGGTCATTAAAATTCACACACAAACACACACACAGAGATAGAGACATTTGTTATTATATGTTTGTGGAGACTCTCCATTCATTTCTATGGGGAAAACTCTAATCTCAACATGACAACATTAACTCCTACCCAGCCCTAACCTTAACCATAAGTAACCAAACAAAACAAGAGACTTTTGCATTCACAGATCTTTGTGGGGAACTGAAAATGGTCCCCACAACGTCAAAAACAGGTTTTTATCACATTGTGGGGTAAATTTGGTCCCCACAATGTAATATAAACCTAATCCACACACACACACACACACTCACACTTAAACTCAAGTCACAACCTCTAATTTCCCGAGCTCAAATCTAAGGCAGCCCGAGAGTCACCATCTTGTGGGTAAGTGTAACCCTATTTACCAGTAGGCTACTCATAAAACCAGCACTGTATAGGCAAGAAGAACATTTATCTTTTGTTTATGCAAAGCATTTTATTTGATAAATTGGTCAGAGGTGTGATTTAATTTCGCAGTAGACTTTACTAAACCATGTTTACTATCCTAAATGAACTATTTTCACAATAACCGCACTGTATTCAGCTCTGGATGTGTGACAGACGATACATTTTACCGAGTTGATTTTTTCCCCACCTGCATGATTGGTAAACAAGATTAAGAAGTTTCTCACAAATTGATCTCACAATTTAAATTTTGATGACTTGCAGCAATTACTTTTAGAGAGCAACTGATATGGATACAGTTACGGCTGTGCTTTACTTACAGCCCTTGCCTACCCCCCCCCCACCCCACCACCACCATCCACAACCACTACCACTACCACTGCACACACCAGACTATGTTAAACCANCCACCATCCACAACCACTACCACTACCACTGCACACACCAGACTATGTTAAACCAGACAGAAATTACAATGTAAAAGGGAAACAGAGACAAGCGGATTAACTACCCAGCTGCCTCCAGATCTGAAATCGGATCACGCTTAAATGAACGGAAAATAATGGCGCGCTACTCCTTAAGTCTGCTTGACCACAATAGTAATGCCACCTGTCTGTTCTACTCAACTGCTCCCCCCATGCTGTCTCTCCCATAAACTCTGGTCACGTGACCGAGGGACATCTGGGGACAGGGGAGAGGGCGGGGTTTCCATGTGCCACTCATCTCGGTCATTTGCATATGACCGTTGTCGCACAGTTTTGTTTTCCGCTGAGTTAGAATTTGAATAATGAGAACGCAGCTTGTCATTGCGGATCGTGTATACCTCTTATCCGCTTTTTTAGGGTTGGAAGGAATAGGTCTGTAAATGTAGGGGCACAGTTTGGAGGTTAAGTATCAGAGCGGGAATACACAAAGAAATCTAAAGGCATAAATTGAAAACACCAGTCTGCTTTCGAACAATGTAGCTTTATACAAGAGCCTGATGTTTCCAGTTTGATGTAAGCTGCAGCCAGAGAGGCCAGAATTCTCCTTGCATATTATTCCGTGCCAGTCCTCTGTCACACATATAGGCTACACATTTACGTATACATACATCTAGGTGCGAGTATATTTTCATTAGCTTACCTATGGGTGTCTAATACTGTTTTGTTATTACTGTCACACACCTAACACCGAGTATATTCACCTGCATATTACCCGATACTGTCCCTACAGACTCCACATATGCAGTGACCAGTGTACGGCATTTCACGAACACGCCCGCATCCGCGTGCACTTACGCGACCTTGAAGGGAAGCGAGTCCCCTAGCTGCGGGGGACCGAAGCGCACGCAAACAACGCCAGGCACGCTCCCGCCCTATCCATCGGGCCTGCGCATGTGCGTGCGCACACACACACACACACACGCAGGGACACACGAGCGCATACAGTTGTAGCATATAGTACTAGAGAATGTCCAGAGAACAGAAGAAAAACTATGACAAGACACCCTGACTGAAAACAAAAGAAGGTCTTATTCTCGGTGTTTGTGACGTTACCAGTAAATCAATAGGCCTATCATTTTAATATATATTTTCACGCAACTGCGACAAGCCAAACGAGACATGGCAATTTTATAGCACCATTACTATAAAAATATTAAACCTTACTCCCCTTTTATTCTTCTGAATGGGAACCGCATAAATTCGGGGCTGGATTTACTTTTCAAAATCACAGACCATTATCTTTTATCCTTTTTTCTAAAAAAAAAAAAAAAAAAGAGGGGGAGAGACGAAAAACACGCAGCCTCCTTCAAAGCGGCAATTGATCAAACTGTTGTCAGAAACGGAATGAAAGTCATGCTAATAGCCAGCTGAAGAGCTTGTTTTAATAGGCACTTGGCATACTCGCACGCACGCCCAAGCGCGCACACGGGGCTTCGGTGCACGGGCGCGGTCACCTCCTTCCACCCAAACTGTGCTACAGCAGCACTCCATTCTGCGTTTTATCCGCACAAATACACCGCAGGTAAAATCTGTCCATAGTTATAAATAAGGTAAAATATTTTGAATATTTCGTCAATAATCACTTAACATTTTACAATAATATTGAATAGCACTGTTAAGTTTCTTTGGCTAAAAAGGGGCACATGCATGACCCATGAAGTCACCAACGTTGACGGTAAGGTTTTTAAAACGTTACAGACGAACTGCAGACGGCGGTGACTGTCAGCTCATCGACTCGTACAGCCGATGAGCGGTTTCGTACGGCGGCAGTGTGATCAGTGCGTACCTGTGATTACTGAGGTACACAGCGCCTCACTCCAAGCCTGCGCAGGGGGGCAGAGGTCAGTCTCACACCTTGTTTTTGTGAAGCGCTCCCGGGCCTCCTTATCCTGCACGCGGGACCGGGATCAGGCGGCGCGGCAGTGCAACGCGAAGCGTGACAGATTTATAATCTGCTTTGGAGTTCTGCACATAAATCAAACTAAAAAAAAAAATCACCACCACATGTTGTGCGAAAGCGCGCTGTTTATTTCTGCGCACATGCGTGACCGAGTGCTACCTAAAAAATGGCTGAAAGATAGTAGAAGAAAATTGATTTTGTTAAAAAAATAAAAAAAAAGTTAAAATGCGGGGGGGAGGGGGGGGAGAGGTGCTTTTATAATTGGATCAGTGTGATGGGAAGCTGGGGGCTCCTCTACCCTCATTTTGCTGGGAGACGACCTCTCTCTCTCCGTGTATCCCCCTCCCCCCAGTGTGATTGTGGAGAGCGCCTGAACGTTTGACCATCCTATCTCTGACAGGCAGCCCGGGGCGGGACAGGTTTGATAACTCTTGTCAGGCTGGTGACAGGCGCTCTAATCCTGGCAGTCGGAGAGAGGCGACGGTCAGCTGAGCAGCGTCCCCCCGGCAATAACGGAGGCTCCTTCGTTCTGCATAAAATAAACCCCCGCGGTGCCTCTCCTGCCTGCAGCCTCGCGGGGGGACAGCTCGGCCAGGGCTCCAGCTTCTGTCTGTCCCTTTATTCCCTCATCCATGTCACCCACCGCTCTGTCTGCACAACGCCAGCGACAATACTAACCTGTATCTTCACCTTCTGATTTAGACCTCTGTGCCTTGCATTGGCTGTAATTTATTTCTGTATTTATTTCAGATCTGTTTCCTTTTGTATTTAGTGATAATTTTAATTGTGGAAATAAAGTCAGAATTTCAAATACAAGCATTTGCTTGGTAGGCATTTTCATCTGATGTAAATCTCGGGACCACGAAGCAGACGCATACACTTGAAATTATTAATTTATTTTTTTATGCAGATTTAAAAAATAACCTCGTCTTAGCTGGTGTCTATTGGTAGGACAGTTTATTTCTTCGGTGTGTGTGTGTGTGTGTGTGTGTGTGTTGGGGGGGGACTAAATTTGACATTCA